GCAAGCGCCGCTGTCCCCTTGGTGCCATGTTTGACGAGCACAGCTGTCTCCTTGGTGCTGTGTTTAGCGAGCACCGCTGTCTCCTTGGTGCTGTGTTTAGCGAGCACCGCTGTCTTCTTGGTGCTGTGTTTAGCGAGTGGCACTGTCCCCTCTGCGCTGTGTTTAGTGAGCTCCGCTATCCACAGCGAGCACCACTGTTCCCTCAATGTTATGATTAGCAGACCTACCGACCTGCACGCATTTTGCGTAGCAGGCACGCATTTTTACACCGAAGTACGCCGGTACGATTTGTTACTCTAAAGTACGCAAAAAGCAGCTGGTTACGCTGACGCTTCTTGCTGGCTGCCGTTTCAGTCTGTTAGCAGGAGGGGCGGGGCTGCATACACAGCTCAGGGCGCCTTGCGAATGTCTCACACAAACACTCTACTCACAAATACGCCCGCGCCCTCGAGACAATAAAAGGACGAGAATAGCGATAGTAAACGTTAGGAGTTGAGGAGAAATACGCACATTACTCGCAACTGACACGTTAGGCGCCGTCCAAACGGCAAACCGCCCGGCGTTCGTGAAAGCCGCTGGACGGGTGAGTATTATATTGAAAGTTATATTGCCGTTTTACACCAAAAAAGGCACCCCCCTTTATCAGATTAAAATGATACTAAAATACAGAGCGAACGGAACTGTAGCCTGATCTGGGAAGAAAAAACACACGCGCACTACACACATAGGTCCGTTAGTTTGATTGAAGGACCATTCAGCCAATCATAGCAAATATATCAGCTAGCGTCAGTGACGAGGGAACGAAAGCTGCTCCTTTTCGAAGTTGGCAACGTACTGTCGTGTTCGATTTGAGAAGAACAGTTTTCTTTTTTTAAAGCAAATTTTGTTGCTTTGACAGTATAATTTGCATCATTTTATTTGCATAGTGTAGATGTAAAGAAAATGCAGGAAGTTATATATAATTATATAATTGGTATATATAATTGGTCGTAATTATAATTATATTGTAATTTGCTGTGATAATTTCCAGGAGAATTTTACTTACCCATCCCAGAACTACCCCCCCCCCCCCCCCCCCCCCCCCCCCCCCCCCCCCCCCCCCCCCCCCCCCCACACACACACACACACACACACATTTTTTAAAAGCTTGATACGACCCTCGATGCAGATTCTTAAATATGATTGTAGACAGGAAAATATGTTTGATATTTTGAGCTAGGTCCACAGATAACTAAAACTAAAGTAATAAAAAATACAAATGCTTTAATAAGCTAATATTACACAAAAACTTGAGAAATCCACAGGGCATAGAAACTCCTCATTACATTCTCATATGGTTCTAAGAAAAGTGTGACCAATAATTTCATTCAGATCAAATAAAATGATTGGCTGAGCATCCTGCCAGTCATCAGTTGCTGCCCCTCCAACTAAAGTCACTGCTTGCGCACTCCGATCACGCTCACCAAGCGAGTGTGAGTCTGCGAGAGTGCCACCATTGTGGTACTCAAAAAAATTTCCCAAGGTTGGCAGGTCTGGGTTAGTGAGCAGAGCTGTCCTCACCAAGCCTCACTGTCGCCTATGCACTGTCCCCAGTGAGCGTCACTGTCTCGTCTGGGCTGTGGATAAGGAGTAGTGCTGTCGCCAGTGAGCGCCACCGTCCCCCCAGTGCTGTGGTTAGCGAGCGACACTGCCCCCTCGGTGCCATTGTAAGCATGTGCCACTGTCCCCTCGGTGAAGTGTTTAGGGACCGACGCTGTCCCCTCAAACTTCTGCTTAGCAAGCAGTGCTGTCCCCTCTGCATTGTCCCCAGGGAACGCCACTGTCCCCTCAGCGCTGTGGTTGCCAGGCTGCCAGAAAAAAATGCCTTCCTGTTTATTTACATGTATAGCAAAGCATCCACATCTCAAAATATGCTGACATTGGCATTTGTACCTCCATAATGTCCAGTGATCAAAATGCAGTATAGTTCTTTATCCAAACCACAAGCTACATGGTGCAAACTTTGCATACAAGACCAGTTTATAATGTCCCATTTCCACCTTTTTGGGACAATGAGTGAGAATATTTGTACTTGTATTTACTGTATTTCAGTGATATTCTAAGTAACTCTGACTCAGAAAAATTAAATACTGGCATAAAACTGTTTTCTTAAAAGCTCTCATAGAAATACAGACACTTCACCATGTTCAGATCACTACCAACCCCATTCTTTCATTGGAAAATTAATGTCCTCGTTAATGCGAATTGCCGTGGTGTGAATGTAAGATCAGGCGTCTGCTGACATCAAAGCAAGTGTAAAATTACCTGGCCATAGCATATGAGATGCAGTGATGCATCTGAGCACCAGAGGGCAATTTTTTTCATTCGACAGCTAAGGCTCCAATAAGGTCCGGTATTGATATTTGACCATTAAAATCGCCAGATCACCCATCCCTAATGTAGGGTAACTAGTGATTTTAAATGACTCAGTATAGACTCAATTAAAAAGACCAATAGGATGTTGGGTCACATCTCTAGGTATCAAGGGAGGTGATGCTAAGATTATACAATTTTTTGGTAAGACCCCACCTAGAATATTGTAGGCAGGTTTGGTCACCTTACCTTAAAAAAGATATTGTTGCTTTAGAAAGTGTTCAACATAAGGCTACAAGAATGAATGGTCTTCGAGGAATGTCTTATGAGAAGAGTTTAGCTAAGCTTAATCTGTTCAGCTTCAAGCAAAGGAGACCAAGGGGGGACGTGATCCACATATATGAGATTCTAACAGGTCTGGATGCTGTTAAACCAAATAGTTACTTTAATATTAGTTCAAATACAAGAACTCGTGGCCATAGGTGGAAATTAGAGGGAGAACATTTAAACTGGATTTGAGAAGCACTTCTTTACACAGCGTGTAGTTAGAGTATGGAATAGTCTTCATGTTAGTGTAGTTCAAGCTAAAACCTTGGGTAAATCAAAGCTAGATAAGATTTGAACAACTCTGAGCTATTAGTTGAACTCTTCCCAAACGAGCCAGATGGGTTGAATGGCCTCTTGTTTGTAAATTTAATATGTTCTTATGAAAAGATAGTTCACAGTCAATTGACATCTTTTTTGGAAAAGGAAAATGTTTCAGAGGTTTTCCAATCTGGTTTTAAATCCTTACACAGCACTGAATCAGCCCTTTTAAAAGTTTTTAATGACATATTCTTAGCTACTGACTCTGGCGATTGTGTTGTTCTTTTATTATTAGATTTGACAGCTGCGTTTGATACAGTGGATCATGCCATTTTACTTTCTCGTTTGGAGCAATGGGTGGGCCTCAGAGGCACAGCACTAGACTGGTTCAGGTCCTATTTGGCGGAGCGAACCTTTTGTGTCAGTCTAGGTGATCATGTGTCCCACTCCGCTCGTCTACTATTTGGTGTCCCACAGGGCTCAGTTTTAGGCCCCCTCCTCTTCTCGTTGTATC